TTTACATTCCATTCATGTGCAGTCCAAGCTAGTGTCTGGTTTCTTTCCCGTCACAGTTCGGTCTCATTTTCCTGTTGATGGTGCAGATTTTATCCTAGGAAACGACATTGCTGGTGGAAAGGTTTTTCCAGACCCAGAGGTGGTGGATACTCCTGTCCCTGAAGCTGAATCTGATGAGTTGGTTCAAAAGCACCCTGGAGTGTTTTCGGTCAGTGTATTGACTAAGGCGCAAGCGCGTAAGCAGACCCAAGGGGTGGATCTCTCAGATTCATTGTTCCCCTCTGTGTTTAGGGAGGACCAATTGCCCTCTAGTGGTGGGGTAGAGAACTGTCTAGCACAGGTGCCTGTAAGTGCTGCCTCCTCGGTCACTGTTCCTGAGAGAACCTTGCCATTAACCCGCGAGGTCCTTATCAATGCTCAACAGAGCGATCCCTCCCTGGCGAAATGTTTTGCTGCAGCTGGGTGTGATGCTGTGACTTTCCGTCAGACGTTGCAAGCACTGGGAATTTCACACTCCGTTTCTAGCGCTTACCACCCGGAATCACAAGGTACGCTTGAGCGTTGGCACCAGACGCTCAAGCCCACATTGAAGAAATTCTGCTATGACACAGGAAGAGACTGGGATGAGGGTGTGCCGTACATGCTCTTTGCTGTGCGCGATGCTAGGCAGGAGTCTTTGGGGTTCAGTCCGGCTGAGCTCGTATTTGGTCATAACGTGCGGGGACCACTTAAGGTGTTGAAGGAGCAGTTAGTGTCTGGCTCCTTGCCGAAAATTAATGTATTGGATTTTGTGTCTCAGAACAGAGAGCGGTTGCACCATGCCACCTCCCTGGCAAAGAGGGCTCTGGCTCTGGCACAAGAAGGCATGAAGCAGCGGTTTGACAGAAAAGCAGTCGAATGGCAATTTAAACCAGGAGAACAAGTGTTTGTTTTACTGCCTGTGCTTGGAGCTGCCCTCACTGCCCGTTTTTCCGGACCCTATGTGGTGGAAAACAAGGTTTCGGGGACTGATTACATCATTCACCCACCTGACCGTAAAAGAAAGAGACGCCTGTGTCACACATTAACATGTTCAAGCCCTGTCATTCCAGAGAAGCGGCTCAGGAGAAGCAGAAAGAAACTCCGGAGACTGCTGCTCCAGGCAACCCCTCCGTTTCCTTGGTTTGTGGCGGGGCTGAACCTGATGATGGCTTAGCAGGGCTCGATGAAGGTCACCAGGGTGGTAGGTTGCCCCATTCAAAGCTCTTGTCTAGCCTAGAGGTACATTTGTCCTACCTCTCCCCGAACCAGCGTGATGATGTAATGGTGTTGATAACCTCTCATCTCCCTCTGTTTGTGCCGTCCCAGACCTCTGTACTTGCGTCACGATATCGACGTGGGGACAGCTGCCCCCATAAAGCAGCATGCATACCGTTGTCCGCTGGCTAAGACAGAAATGATGAAAGAGGAAGTTGATTACCCGACCCAGCTGTAGCCCATGGAGTTCCCCATGTTTACTTACTCCTAAGTCCGACGGTACACCACGTTTCTGCACAGACTTTCGTAAGGTAAATGCAGTGACCGTCCCAGACTCGTTCCCGTTGCCCAGGATGGAGGACTGCATAGATAGTATTGGTCCCGCGGAGTACATCACTAAGCTAGACCTGCTAAAGGGGTACTGGCAGGTGCCATTAACCCCTCGTGCATCCGATATCTCTGCATTTGTTACCCAAGATGACTTCATGCAGTACACAGTTATGGCCTTCGGGACGAGGAATGCACCTGCAACATTCCAGCGAATGATGCATATGGTATTGGGGACTGTCCCAAACTGCAATGTTTACTTAGACGATGTGTACTCAGCCAACTGGACTGGTCACCTGTCGACTTTGGCTGAGGTGTTCCAGAGGTTAGCAGCAGCGTCACTCACACTAAACTTAGCTAAGTGTGAGTTTGGAAAGGCCACGGTGACGTACTTGGGTAAAGAGGTGGGCCACGGCCAGGTCTGTCCTGTTAACGGCAAGGTTTCTGCTGTGTTAACCTACCCACCCCCCGCGACCAGACGTGAACTCCATCGTTTCCTTGGTATGGCTGGATATTACAGGTGTTTTTGTAGAAACTTCTCAGTAGTTGTCGCCCCCCTGACTAGCTTCTGTAGTCCCACAGTCCCGTTTGTGCGGACAGACGAGTGTCAACATGCTTTTGAAGCAGTGAAATCTCTCCTTTGTTGTGCCCCAGTCCTGGCCAAACCTCTCTCTCCCCTTTAAGCTCGAGGTTGACGCAAGTGCAACCGGCGCTGGAGCTGTGCTGTTGCAGGATGGAACAGGAGATGTGTGTCATCCGGTTAGCTACTTCTCTGTCAAGTTTAAAAAACATCAGCTAAACTACTCCACCATAGAGAAAGAGACCCTCGCATTGCTGCCCGCTCTGCAGCATTTTGGAGTCTATGTTGGTTATAGCCCCTCTCCAGTTGTTGTCTTTACAGATCATAACCCTCTAGTTTTCCCGGACGAGCCCCCGAATTGTTACAAACTTCCAGTGGAAAATCCAGGGGAGGAGGAGGTTAGTGACAATAATAAAATCATTCCAGGTTGAAGGAAGCCTGGAGACGGATTTTACAGTACGTTTGGTGTTTTATTTACAATAAAGAAAAGTGCTAAGGTACCCTCACGGAGGGTCTACAAAAAACAACTTCCCAAAAACAAGGAAGCGCCCAGTCCAGGATACTGTTGGGACAACACGTCAGCAAACTGCAAACTAGAAGGGCAGCTCACAGGAAAACAAATACCACAAAGGAGAAAATAACATAAAATACAATAATGAATACCACCCTCCCTCCACTGAGGGAGTGAACCCCACCACGAGGTTCAGACTTGTTACACGCTACACCGCAGTGTCACCCAGCTCTCCATGCCGTCTGCTCTCCACACCCAGTCTGCCTGCTCTCTGCTCCTTATACCGGCTCCTGCGCTCCCGCTGATTGCAAACTGGGGACAGGTGTGCACCCTCGCCTCCTGGCTGCAACATCAGAGGGGAGGGAAGGGCAGGACCTGCAGAGGACAGACGAGCAGCAGGGGCAAGGGCCGTAACACTGCGTATCAGAGTTGATCACCGTCTATATTAAAACAACTGAAAACGCACATCTAGTAGACATTCACCTACACTGGGTGTATCTGTTTCATGTTTACACTGCCGGTGTCAACATGAATCAGATGGTCTATTCCATAGTTTGTGGTCTGGCAAAAGAATAAAGTAATGTAGACAAAGAATCACACCAGATTTTTTTTTTGGCATGGACAATAACGAGCTGGAACTGTTACTGATTGTAAAACACGACAGTTAAACGGAAGTAACAGACCGTAAACGGCGACATGCACAGTACAAGTGTAGGCTATAAGGGCTGCATTTACTAACACCCTGAATAAAGGGTACTAAATTGCGTGTACATGTTATTGTAGTACCTGTTATGGGTGATGTACTTAGAATTATTGCGTAGGTGACAGCAGGTCCAAACACAAAGGAGGTGGCAGTATTTAAAAGAGGGTTTTGCGTGTTTTAATGGTTTCCGGAAGGATGGAGGGAGGGAAAGCAGCCACTGCGTAAAAACCTTGGTTTGTTTCATTCAGTGCGTCCCGAGTATATGGAAATCGTATGTACCTGCTCATCCTGCCTAAGATTGCACTAAGTACTTGGGTAAGCACACCTGAAAAACTGCTTTGGGAAACCCCAGCTTAAACAGATACAGTAAATGCCAGCAGATCCAGCCAGGGAACGATCACTGACCGTCCGCAGCGTGCCCGGTCACTCCGCAATCTCCTGTCCCTGGCCTAGTACGCTCCAACGCCTCAATTCCCTCTCCGATACCTACAATGGGTTGTGTCATTATTATGACAGTTGGTGATTGTTCCCTCTGGCTGGATGAAATTTACGTGTGATCCATGCTGTTGCACTCACATGAAATTGCTTTTAGGCTTGTTAGATCACATTGCGTGTAGTAAATAAATGTATTTGCATGTTACCCTCCCATTACTTTGCACAATAAAATTGAAACGTCCCAAATTGCATATTCGTTAAGGCAAAAGTATTAAATGAACAACAGATGCTATCTTACACTTTTGGAAGACGTCATTGTCCATTCACACAGTTAGTAGATCAGCTTACATTTGCTGGTCTACTAACGGTGTAATTTGCTGGTGATATCAAGTTTGCACATGTTTTTACTCACGCAAACCTTTAGTAAATCTGACTAGTGTTAGAGTGTTAATTGCATGGTACAAAATATTTTTAATAAAAATACCAAATCAAAAACTCTGTCAGTAGCATCCTGTTTCTTTGCATGACTTATAAGACCCAGAGAGCCAAATGTGCATCATCGTTTCTAAAGTCCGTTTTTGCCCGTCCGCACTAAAACGCTACCCGGAGTTTTAAAACGAAAAGAGGAGATCGGCAGCATTTTCAAACTTCTCCGTTTTAGGTCTTCGTTTTCGCCGCTTTAGTCTGGACGGGAGGTGCAAACATAGCAAAAGGTCTCTGTTTTAAAATGAAAACGCAGTGGCGTGGATGGGGCCTCAGTCTTGCAAGAAGACATGCTGCCAACTTCCATGGTGCTACAGACAGTGACAAATCTCAATTTTTCACCCTCTTTGTCAACAAGCTCAGTCAGCAATTTAAGCCAGAAAAATCAGAAATTCTCACCCTGTGGAGAACACTAATGTAGAGGTTGCTATCATGGCAGGGTGGCAAATTTAAATATAGTTTCCTATTGTCCTTAAAACCCATAAAAACACAGTCTGTCTTAATACTTTTGAACTTCCCAATCCGGCCTTTGGTTCCTACTAAAGATGTAAATCTTTAAAAACTACTACAAGTGAGTTGGCTGAATGAACTACGTGGGTTAATCAATGAGTAAGTCATTAGTCTGTATATGAAAACCAATGAGCACAAGTGGAGCAGACCGAAATGCCTTCTACTCAAGAATGAGGATTCAGACCTTTTTTATGGCGTATATGTGTGTCACCTACCTGTTGTCAGGGTCTGGTGTGGTCATGGCTCGGGTTACATAACACATCTTGAGTGGTATGCATCTCCTGTCGCCCTGCAGAGACAGGGAGGGCTGGTAGCAGGGCTCGGAGGGTCAGATGAGGAGGAGGAGGTGATAGGAGGGCTCCCGAGACGGGGAGACTCAGGAGGGGGGGTTTCCCAGCCAATCTCGGACACAGGGGACCCCTTTTTGACGTATGGTGTGGCCTCACGCATGTACTTCACTGGGCAGAGAAGGAAGAGAGAGATTTCCAGTAAATATAATGAGATTTGGTAAAGAATGTTGAACTGGGACATGGACGTAGCACATTTTGAATTTAATTGTTCTGGAGACACTGTTGGTCAGGGTGGGGTTAAATTGAAAAATTTAAAGGTACATAGCATCTCATAGATGGAAAATCTTTCACTCAGTAGATTCCTGCAGCAGTTTTTGGTCCAATATTTGGGTAAGCAAAACACACAGATCACTCACTTCATAGTGTTAATAAAAATCACTTCCCTGTCTTTACATTGAACAGTATGCTGTAAAGCTTTTTTTATTAAACTAAATTAATAAATGGATTAACTTTTTTGCTAACAAGGAAAATGTAGGCTTGATTATGTATTCATACTTAAAAAACACATTCAAAGAATTTAAACTGCACTGAACACTAAAGTCTTCATCATTTAATACAGATGGCAATTAAAATCCAATAGAATCTACTGTATGTGTTCCCTCATAGTCTTTCGATATCAAATCTATATTAGGAGCATAAACAAATTGCACCTTGTTGTTTATAAAGGTCCCACTCTTTTGAATGTAGTTTGTCTCCATAACAGGTCAGAGGAAGGGTATGGGGATGTTTAGATACACAGCGGAAATATTAATTTATAGGAAGTTTAATTATGGTACCACTGAGGCATCTGGTACAGTAAGTATTATAGACTGCCATAGGGCGGCAGATAGAAAGGTAATTCTCAGCAATATCTCTGTGCATTAATGATGCTTCAACACTGCTGCAGAGGCCCACAAAGATGTGTGGGTAGTCTGGAAACTTGTTGGTATGACATTTTTGCCTTTAGCAAGAAAAGTTATGCCTATGAGTCTGTATCATCCTATGGTCCACTGGTGCAGGTCTGCATGAAAGGGTAAATAGATTTCCTTTAAATGTAGACCTCAAGTCAATAATTTACATTTTAAAACTAGAGACCATCTTGCAATGGGATCACACCAGCTGCAACAAATGACATGAGAGATGTGAGATTGGCGAAACAGGTGAACTGTGCCAGATTTTTTCAATATACCTAACCTTCCTTGTAGGGTTAACTTTTAGCCTATGTTAGTTTTGAAATATATATGTTTTGTGTATTGCTGAAATATTCCCTGGGTTGATACAAGGAATGTAAAACATTAAATATGGTTAGTAATGAATGTAAAATGTGTCATTGGTGGCAAGAGAGCATGAGAACATACTGTGCAACAACAATTGTTATTTTTTTTAGTCTGACTGGATCTTGCTGCTGCCCAGGGATGCAAACTCATCAAGGGTGAAAAAGGTAACAAAGTTCTCACAAAATCTGTCCACAGACAGACATATATACACCTGGCAAAGTATGCAAAACTGCTTCTTTGGTAGTTCCCGTTATAGTAGTTTTCCAGGTCCACATTTTACCATGACACACACAAGCCACACTATCCCAGCATTAATTTGTGAACATTTTGCCATTCTGTCAATGAAAGTCATACAAGTAAAGCAGTTCATGTTTGTTGCACAGACAACAGGAAGCTTGGCACAGCTCCAGCTGTGACTCCAGTTTCTCTCTGTGTTTCCCTGTCTCTTTCTCCCTTCTGTGTGTGTGTGTGTGTGTGTGTTGTGGGTGCGACTTACCTTCCTGACACCTGGCTCATCTCCTCACCTGACTCCACTCAACTCATTACTTTCTACTTTCTCCAGCTATCCTGCCACTCGTTGTCAGATTGTTCTGTCTCCATTGTGTACAGTGACTCTCTGTCTCCTGCAATCTACCAGTGCATTTTTATGACTTTTTCCTTGTGTCTTCTGCTAATGTGTGTTTTTCCTGTTCCTCGAGATTTTTCACCATTCACCGCTCGACACCTCAGATCAACCCCAGCCATACTGCACTTATTTTAGCCTGCCTGCCTTCTTCAGCCCTTATCCACTTATTGTTTGTTTATTTAAGACTTTCTACTATATAGCTCCTAATCAGTACTGTGTCCGCTTCTGAGTCAGCCACAACAAAACGTAACATGATCTGGCCTACAAGGACCCAGCAGACATAGATTAACTCAGTCAAGCCTCCCACGTGTTGATGGGACAACATGAAAAGGTATTACATGAAGTCATGGACACTCTATGGACCCTCTCCACCAGTGTAGCCAACCCTCCCTATTTTTATAGCCCTCTCCTGGTTTCGGACAACAATTCTCCAGATTTTTTGTATGTCTCCCAATTTAAGACAAATGTTCACAACTTTTTCTCCTTTCAATTGCCACAACCTGCCCTTCTGGCACTGTACAGCGTGCTTAATTTACTCTCTCTACTGTTCCTGGACACCAATATTGTTACACCAGGTGGAAGAAACAGTCAAACATCAAACAATCTAGCGAATGATCCTATAATTTTTCCCTAGTTTGTCACTTCTAAATATTCTATAACATCGCTTACAGCATTGCTAAATTAGATTACCCACAAAGCTAGCTAATGCCATGTTTATCAGTAGGAGCCGCTAACATTAATGAGCGGTAAAAAACAAAAGCGTTACTTTATTTAGGATAAATAAGTTAATAGTAAATATATCTGCGAGCCGCTTGTCTTTAGTTACAGTTGGCGCGTCAGAAATGATTAAAACAGAGGGGATATGTAAATAAACGTGAGCTAAACTAGTATCTAACATGCCTTCCTAGACTACAAAGTTATCTGGCTCCTCTTTCAAATGTGTGAAATCTCAAAGTTGCAAGTCTTTGTTGTAGACAGTCATCTATAATTAGATGCATACAGCAGCAGCATTTCCTCTAAGTCACTGTATCATAGGTGGCATGTTTTATAGCCAGATGGTGATTGAAAAATGGTTTCTCGTATGCTTTGGATAGAATTAAAGAGTGCTGGTAAAGGGATGAACTAAATGTAAATATGCTACACTGAAAGTAGACATTGTGGCAGATTATGTGCAAATAAAATACACATGATTATTCTCTCTTGCTTTACAGATGGCTGAAATGAGATGCATGTTCTAGCAGACTGACTGGTAGACCACATGGAAATTGTACCATGTGCATCCAATAGTGGTTATGAAGATAAAGGAGCTTTTGGCTGTTGAAATGCAGGAATCGATATTGCATTTACAACTGATTGTTGGTCAGGGTCCACTGAGTCTCTGATGAGCTTGACTGCTCACTTCATAGATGAAGAATGGAACAGGGTACAAGTTGTCCTAAATGTGAAGCCATGAGTGGATTGTACACTGAGAGTACACTGGATAATGTGAGTATATTGGATAGTTGTTCTTAGACATGCTAACTGAGTGGGATATAGACGGTGAACGTGTGCTGATGGTGCTATGTGTCACAATCCTCTGTGTTCTCTGTGTGCTGTTTCTGTCTGCCTGTCTGTTAATTGTTAGTTCTTGTTCTCTGCGTGTGTTACATCGGTTCTCCCAGTAATCTGCCTGCCTGCCAGTCTCTCTGTTCTCCCCTGCTGGTTCTCTGCCTGCCTGTCTCGTCAGTTCTGATCCCTGTCACCTGTTTGCTCTCCCGCCCTGCTCGTTTACCTGAGTATAAATGTTTGTCAGTTCTGGTCAGTCTCTGCAGTGTCATTATCGAGTGTCCTGTACCCTCATGAGTTTTCTTCTGTGGATTTTTGGAGTTTCTTCCTGTTGCGAATTTATGTGTTGCACTGCATGGACTCAGCCCTATTGGACTTACCTTGACCTGTGAGTGTTAAATAAATATAACAAACTGGATCATGCTCTCTGGTGTCTTGCATTTGGGTCCTAACCTGCTTTTGCACTCAGCCCACCGTGACTATGGGAGAATGAAGCCAGTATATTTAAGGGGATGCAGTTCTCACAACCTCCAGCTTTTCATGAAAGATGGCCTCCAGTCACATAGAGCTGTAGGTTGCATCCTGGCCGAGCTGAAGAGGTGTGAAACCCATTTTGGTCATTCAGTCCCCTCCAAGCAGGTGCTTGAACAACTTCAGAAGGATGGGGGTCTACCTGAACACTGCATTCTCCAGGCATGCCCAACCAGATGGAATTCTACATAACATGCTCCATAGGATGCAGGAGCAAAAGAGAGCAGTGACAATCTACTCTAGGGACTTTGGACATTTTACATGTCGAAGTGTGGAGGAGTGGGACCTGGATGAAAAGCTGATAAACACACTGGAACCAACTGAGATTACTTTTGAGATTACTTTGAGGAAGACCAAGCACAACAGCCCAACCAGAAGGTTTCCAAGATCAGAGAGTCTAAAGAAGCCATGCTGGCATGTGTGCTGGATCCCCCCCCAAGAAGATGCAGAAAAATAATATCAAGCAAGAATGGTTAGGGATGTTCAAAGAAACTTAGGCTGGAGAAAGAATGTTCTAGACCATCTCTATGAGGACATGTTGCAGAGCCAGCAAACAGTCACAGGGGTGTCTGAGGGTCTGCATGAGGAGCTAGAGCGGTACCTTCAAGAGCCCGTTCTTGATAACAAAACTGGTTTCACTATTTGTTTTTAAGTCCATATCAAATGACGTTTCATCATCATGTGACCAGCTGCAATGGTGGAGGCAAAACACTGGCCGATTCCAGATTCTGTCTCGATTGGCCTGGAGGTTTCTTACTCCTCCACATTAATCTGTCCGTGATAAGAGTATTCAGCACTGTAGGAGCCATCCATCAAGATAGGAGGAGCTCAATGTCAGGTTCCAAGGCAGAAATGTTGCGCTTCCTGCAAGGGCAAACGTGTAATATGTCCCCAGCCTGTTAACTAAATATATTTATTGATGTGCAATTGTTTACATTTTCAGTCACTGAGACTGTAATCTAAGGCCTTTTTAACATAATCCATTCAGGAAAAGGTATTATAGCCCACACATAAATAACACCTTTCAAAAGCAAAATACCGGCCTGTTCTAGGTGTAATTTATTTGGGAAACGTGTCTACAATCAAAATACTGGCATGTAAATTTGCTCTTTTTCATTTTAATATTGACCTTGGCCCTGACAAACCCAAAT